CACTCCCTTGCTTTCTGCACCAGAAGTTGTTCAGGTTCATGTTGCCTTGTTCCTGCCACAGCCTTGGAATTGTTTCTCCAAGGATGCTTTGTTTCTTTCATTTGATAGTGGCATGTTGAAATCAAGATCAGGCTACTATTTATGCCCACTGCTACTGGAGTGTAATAGCTTTTAGACTGTCTGTGTAGACAGAACTGGGAAATAGATGTATGCATAACCAACAGAAGCAATCATACGACACATCCATACTCATTCTGTGTGTATCCATCCATAGTGAGTTTATGGTTCTAGTCTAAAGCTACAGGGCTCACTACCAGCCTCTCTTCCTTCGTTCTCTGGTAGGGAGAAGCTTGGATCTCATTTCCTAACACAGAATATTTACCCTTATTTAGTCCTATCATTTAAGTAGTTTCAAAATTGCTATACATATATTGTGAAAAATAAATTTACAAGAACAAAATATTGGTCAATACTTTTTTATCATTATTACCACAGTATATAGTCAAAATACTATTTTTCAAAATTATTGATTTTCTTTGCCACTCCTGCCAGTGTGGTTAGATTAATGGGGACAGGGGTCAATCCCCAAAATCCAAAAGCAAAATGAAATAATTCATTTACTTGTATGTCAAGTAGACAGCATAGTTCCCAAACAGGATTTTAGGGGTCTATATTTAATATTTTTGCACATTTCCACTTTGATTTAATTCTGTTTTACAACTCTGATACCTTTACCTGGATTTACCAACAAGGTTTACCTTTTTGGTCCGATTTACTTAACATTTTTGTCCTCTCTTACTCTCTTCATCACTTTCTGTCTGAGTACAAATGTACACACACACACATCATATTTTGTCTAAGTTACAGTGTTGTTTTCCTTTATCCCTTGAACACTTTAGTGTATATATCCTAAGTGCAGGGGCTTTTTCTTCCATAACCACAGCTCAAATCTCAGAATCAGCAAGTAAGAAAGCTTTTCTCCAGTACACAGTCCATATTCACATTTTATCATTCCTTTCAAGCTGTTTTATAGCTGTCATTCCCCCTGTCCAGGATCCAGTCCAGGATCACCCATTACATTTAGGTGTCATCTCTTTAGTCTCCCTTAATGTGGATCCAGTTAGTTGCTCAGTCTCTTTTTTTTTTTTTTTTTTTTTTTTTTTTTCTTGAATGACTTTTAAAGTTTTTGGAAAGTAACTGGTCAGTTGTTATATTGATTATCTCTTATTTTGGGTCTTTGTGTCCTCAGGATTGATGCATACTTCTCAGTATACCACGTCAAGAAGAACATTATAACCATTAGTCTGATGATGTTGACTTTGATCATTAGTTAAGTTCTGTCAGATTTCTCTGTTTTTCTCTAATTTTCCCTTTGATATTGAGTAATTTTCAAGAACCACATTGAAACTACATTGAAAACGTGTTAGTTTTAGTCTCCATTGATTATTTTTGCCTGTGCAGTCACCATTATGATGGTTATAAAGTGATTTTTCTAACTCTTGTCACCTGTTAATGCATTTTTGTTTGTTGATAATACTTTAAGGAAGTGTTTTCCCTTTTCTCGTTTATGTCAGTATGGACTCTAGGTTCCTTTTTTTTTTTTTTTCAGATTATAATCTATTACTGTCTTTGTTTTAATGCTTTTATGAGAATATTTCAAAAAGTTCATGGAAAATTGAATCAAAAGAAAAAATTTTGTAGATTTATTTATTTGTTTGAAGAGCAGAGTTACAGAGAAGGAGAGAGGAGAGATCCTCCATCTGCTGGTTCACTCCCCAGATGGCTGCAACAGCCAGAACTGGACCAGGCTGAAGGCAGGAGCCATGAGCTTCACCTGGGTCTCCCACATGGGTTGTCAGAGGCCCAAGCACTTGGGTCATCTTCCTTCGTTTTTCCCAGGCCATTAGCAGGGAGCTGGATCGGAAGTGGAGCAGCCAGGACACAGACCAGTACCCATATGGGATGCTGGCATTGCAGGTGGCTGCTTTACCTGCCGTGCTACAACCCCAGCCCCAAAAGATAAATTTATTATGATGCATAAAGTTTTTTTTCAAAGATTTTATTTATTTATTTATTTATTTGAGAGGTAGAGTTACAGACAGTGAGAGGAAGAGACAGAGAAAGGTCTTCCTTCTGTTGGTTCACTCTCCAAATGGCCGCAACGACCAGAGCTGCGCCGATCCGAAGCCAAGAGCCAGGAGCTTCTTCCTGGTCTCCCATGTAGGTGCAGGGGCCCAAGCACTTGGGCCATCCTCCACTGCCCTCTCAGGTCACAGCACGGAGCTGGATTGGAATAGGAGCAGCCAGGACTAGAACCAGTGCCCATATGATATGCCGGCACCACAGGCGGAGGATTAACCTGCTGCACCATGGCGCTGGGCCTGATGCATAAAGTTTTGAAACCCATGTGTATTTTTTTTTGTAATACACACTTTTCATGAGCTTTCTAAAGTGTCCTCATATTTCCCTAGAGTTAGCCAGCAAGTGTCTGGTGTTACTTTGATATATCGCCATCACTCTTTGAGTAATTCCTTCCGTTTGGCACAGTTTCAGGTTGATACTGTAATTTCTCTCCCCCAGCCCTACCTACGATTAACCATGTCTCTAATGTACCTTATTGGTTCTATTTGTGGGGAATGGTATTTAGAAACCAAGATCTGGGAGTTAGGTACAACATTCATCTCAGAGGACATGGCTAGAACACACGGATATATGCACAGAGCATAAATATACATATATGTGCATTCATTTCTGTATGTGTATAAACACATACGTGCACACATAGGCATGCATACATATTCATGTCTATTTCTGTATCTCTCTCTGTGTATGTATATATGTACACTCACACTTATGCCTAACCGTTAGTTAATATTGATTCCTGCAATCTACTCTTAACACCACAGAGTTTATTCTAATTTCCTCCTTTCCATATTTGTACTTCCTTCTTTAACAGTGGAAACCTCTACTTCTGCTACCCCCATTGGCTCAACCCTAAATTACACAGAAAATAGTTCCAGTATTGCTAACCCTGCGACTACAATAAAAGAAATCTACTTTCAAGTGTGTATTTAAACTGTAATTTGATAATGCATAATTAGTGGGGCATATAATCCTATGTGGTGGCAGTGGTAAACCAAAACTCTTGGACTTTTTTTTTTCAGTAATTACATTTTGGGTGGGTCAAAATGTTATATATATTCAGGTTGAGCCCCCCAATCTGAAAATCTGAAATCTAAAACTTTTTGAGTATCAACACAACTCTCAAAAAGTTTCAGATTTGGGGACCAGTGTAGTGACGCAGCAGGTTAAGTCACCACTTACAGCACTGGCATCCCATATCAAAGTGCAGATTCACTTCTTGGCTGCTCTGCTTTCACTCCAGCTTCCTGCTGATGCATTTGGAAAGGTAGCAGAACATGACCCAGCTACTTGGATCCCTGCCTACCACCCATATGGGGGACCAGGATAGAGTTCCTGGTCCAGTTCCTTCTGGCTTCAATTCAGCCTGGCCCCAACCTGGCTGCTGCAGCCATTTTAGAGAGTAAACCAGTGGATGGAAGCTGTCTTCCCTCCCTCCACCCACCACCATCACTCTGCCTTTCAAATAAATAAATCTTTTAAAGTAAAATTCCAGATTTGGAAACATTTTCTGTTTTAGATTAGGAATACTAACTGGTAAAGTCTATGCAATATCCTATAATCTGAAAAACTCAAGAATTTGTTCCTAAGTAAGCATTTCCAGTAAGAGATCATCAACCTGTATTATGGTATAAATCAAATGAGAATAATAGCTATGTGATTGAGTTATGAACCTTTATATGCGGCTGAAAAGAAATACAGATGCGAGGTTGATGGAGTTTTTTTTTTTTAAGTGTGACCTCATAATGTGCTTATCCTCTACCACAGACACTTCCTGTATCTGCCCACTGAATAGATCTAGAAGTAGTGGCCAGCCTGGTAGTAGCTGTGGGCGTCCTTAGAATATCCAGATTGTTCCTGAGTACCCTTGTCCCTGCCTGCGGCTAGACTGTTCCCTTAGCCAACCCAACCAGAAAGAGGAGTGAGCCCTTGCCACACTGTGAGGACCTTTGCTCTGGTCCTGCTCGTGGCCTTGCTGTGCACAGAGCTCAGAGTCTGCACCGCTGCCAGTGCTCGGCAGCCTCCCACATGAGCTCCTTCAGGAAGTGACCACTCCTGCTGAGTCTGAGAAGGTGAGAGTAGAGAACAAATTCTGCTTTCTCTCCTGCCCGAGAACAACCTGATGATTCAGGATAGGAAATTTTAGGGCACTGAGATGAACTCCATGCCTTCGTCCTGCAAGGAAGACCTGTGTAACCCAGTTGACCAGGTGGCAGGCAGTGCCTGAGCCCAGCCCAAGCAACTCTTGCTCAGCCTGGGCACCCTTGCCCTGTGGGCCCTGCTCTGATCCCCATTCCCATGTGTTGTTTCCCACTGGCCCCCCCATCTGTCCCAGCACCACCATGCCTCCCAGTCCTTTGGCCACTTTAGCAACTGAGTCAGAGGATTTCTGGTGTGGTTTCTAGCCATGAGATTAGGGAAGGACAGGGGTAGGGACCTCCTTGTCCAGAGATTCTGATACTAGGTAGGTTCCTGGTGGCAGACTTAGACTAATCCCCTTTCCCTAGGCCTGCTGCTTTCAAACCCATACTCTAAGATATCAGCTTCCTTTCAGCAGCCTGTCCTCTGAGCCAGAGACCCCAGTACTTCCTATTCTGGACGCTGGGATTACAGTAAGACCATGGGTCAGGAGCCAAGTCCACACTCCACTATCCTGGGCCACCTCTGTTAAAGCCTGGAAAGATCCAGGTCTCTAAGGGAACCTGCAGGCCTCATGTGAATTCTGATCTGCAGTCAGTCCCATGACTCATAACTGATGAGCTGGCCACTCGCCACTTACTGTTTAAGCACTTGCGTCTTCTCAGAGCTGTTGCTGTCATATGTGGTGACATGCTGCATGTGATTCTCCTCCTCCCCAGGCTCAGGCCCGCTGTCACCGCATAGGCCAGAGTAAAGCCGTGAAGGTCTATCGCCTCATCACCCGGAACTCCTATGAGCGAGAAATGTTTGACAAGGCCAGCCTAAAGCTGGGTCTGGACAAGGCAGTTCTTCAGGACATCAACCGAAAGGGCAGCACCAATGGAGTGAGTATGAAGACCTGCTCTGCAGCCTAGCTCTCCTTGGGTTTTTCCTCCTCACTGCTGATCCAGGGCTCACTTTTGCCATGTTGCCTCAGCCCACACACCATTGTAGAGGATAGGTGAGCGACAGGTTGCTGCATCTTCTGGACTCTAGATGGATAAAGGAAATCTGAAGCAGCAGTTACGTGGTAAGGTTGCCCAGCATGTAGTATCATTTCTATGACCCCTTCTTTGACTTTGTCCACAAGAATCCAGCAGATTGTAACACTCTTAACCGTGTGAATATTATGTATTTGTCACCGTGTCTTACTTTGTCCTCCAGACTTTGAGCTTCTTGAGGGTTTAACGAGACCAATTTTATCTGAGTGCTCCGTGGCCCCTAATAGTGCTTGGCATATAAAAGATATTCAGTATATGGTGGTCAGTTGATAAATGAATGAATAAATTAGCAGCTTGAAATATGAGCTGTTAAACTCCTCTTTCCCCTCTAGAGAGGAAAAAGATTACAGGTAAAATTCTTAAATTGTCTTTAAAGTCTGGGCAAACAGAAAAGACTATCTCCTTAATCTCTGGGTTTATAGCATCAAAGACTGGGAATTAAAACTTCCTAAATGAGTTGTCTTTAGTCCAGATGTCCTGTATCTTTAGCTATGCATGTGTTGCTCAGTGTACTTCAAGTTACCCATGCTGGGAGTCATGGAATTCCTTCTTGTGGTTTCTTATAAAGAGAACCAGATTCTTAATTTGAACCAGGAAAGGGTGTTTTGGACCCCATTTCCTGTTTTCAATAAGCAGTTGAGAAGATCACAGTTGGCACGATATCCTTTTTTTTTTAGTTTAGAAATGACATCACTTCCAATACTAATGTATTTATCTAATAATAAATAAATCATTATTCTTCAGCTTGTTTGGTACATCTGGAGGTTTTTAAAGATACAGGCTCAAACTAAAATATAAAAAAGATGTCAAATATATCCTCTTCAGTGGTACATAGTTTTAATGGTTTGTGGCATTTGATAATAACCAGCATCTTAAAGAATGTTGAGGCCCTTGGATCATGTGCTAGGCTTTCTTCCAGAGCTCCCTATAGAGGATCGTCTGCCTGCCTTCCCCAGAATACCTCTCTCTGGGTTTTCATTTTTCTGAAAATCTTCATTTTGTTGTCCATGCCCTTTGTTCTTCTGACTTGTGCAGTTAATGGAGAAACTGTGTGCTGAATCCTAAAGGCCAGATTTGAGGTGGTTTTTCTCCTGTGCGTTTTCTACTGTGTGAGTAGCCTTTGGTGACCTGTCCAGGTACAGCAGCTCTCAAAAGTGGAGGTGGAGGACCTGCTCCGGAAGGGTGCTTATGGAGCCTTGATGGACGAGGAAGACGAAGGCTCCAAGTTCTGTGAAGAAGACATAGACCAGATTCTGCAGAGGAGAACCCACACCATCACCATCCAGTCTGAGGGGAAAGGGTCCACCTTTGCCAAGGTACAGAACCTACTCTCCAGACACGAGATCGCAATGGAAGGGAAAATAAAATTCTTTGACCTTCATTAGCAAGATTTCTGTTTCTCTAAATGCAAACCCCCAAAATGATCGAGCTGCACATCCATGCAACTCAGGATTACAGGATCTTAGAGGAAGTCTGACCATTGAGGCAGGGGCCATAGAAAGAACCCCACCCACCTGTCCCCCCAGCCATTGAGAGGGGATCCATAGCAGGCAGGATAATTGCTTTGTTTGTGATTTGCTCTGTCAATTCACAAAGTCTGCCCTGAAACCTTGGAGTAGTCGCTGGTGCCTTTGTAGAGCACTCCTTGCTGTTGGAGGGCAGCCTCCTCCAGTGAGCACTCCTGCCTCAAAGCCAGTCTTGGTTCATTTCATGGGAAAGAGATTTGATTCTAGGTTCCCTGCTTCTGGCTGAGGTGCCTCTTTCCTCTGGATTTCAGGCCCCTGGATTTAGAACTTAGTTGCTCTGAGCACAGGCTCTGCCGACTCCAGTGTGAGCTTTGTGGCCTCTTTGGTTAAACCTCCTGCGTGGTGACTCACATTGGGCTCCTTCAGTAGGACACCTTGTGTGACAGGGAGGATATGGGCAGCAGCTCCCTCGTGCCTGCTTCTCCTGCCCAGCTAGTGCATCTTCTGTGGCAGACATTTTGTAAATGTTGAGCTGAAAGAAAAATTAAATCTACAGAAGTTTTAAGAATTAACCCTTTCTTTCTTTTCTTTTCTTTTTTTTTTTTTTTTTGACAGGCAGAGTTAGATAGTGAGAGAGAGAGAGAGAAAGGTCTTCCTTCCGTTGGTTCACCCCCTAAATGGCCACCAAGGCCGGCACGCTGTGCCAATCCAAAGCCAGGAGCCAGGTGCTTCTCCTGGTCTCCCATGCGGGTGCAGGGCCCAAGCACTTGGGCCATCCTCCACTGCACTCCCAGGCCACAGCAGAGAGCTGGATTGGAAGCCTTTCACAGAGAACTAGATACCAAATAACATGTAGCCTTTGTCTTCTAGGGTTTGTCTTCCTGCTTCCAAGTTTTTGTCTTTTAAAATTTGTATATTTGTTTAAAAGGCATGTTTACAGAGAGAGTAGAAGAGACAGAGCTCTTCTATCCACTGGTTTATGCCAAATGGCTACAACAGTCAGGGCTGGGCCAGTCTGAAGCCAGGAGCCTAGAACTCCATCTGTGGTCTCCCAATGTGGATGGCAGGGGCCCAGTCACGTGGGTTATCTTCTGCTTTCCTGGGTGCATTAACAGGAAGCTGGATTGGAAGTGGAGCAGCCACAACTACAGTTGGTAGCCATCTGGGATGCCAGCATCTCAAGCAGCAGCCCAACCCACTGGGCCAAAGCACGAGCCCCCTGCTTCCAAGTTTAAGTTTCAAAAAACTACCTCATAGGTTGAAATAGTAATTTCCTCACCCACTTTTCAAAATAAAAGAATAGCTTTGAGATTTTCATGTTCAGTTTGGAAGCTCTGTTAAGGGTTTTGATTTGGAATGCAGTTGGTTAATACACTTGCGTTTCTGATGCGTGTGGAATAACATGGATGTTTTATTAGTTTGCACAGTGTTCAGGTGCAGCTTGTTGACTCCTGTCTCTTTCACAGGCTAGCTTTGTGGCTTCAGGAAACAGAACAGACATTTCCTTAGATGATCCTAACTTTTGGCAGAAATGGGCTAAAATAGCTGAACTGGACACTGAAGCAAAGAATGAAAAGGTACAGCCTGAGGATATTTTATTCCACTGAACATTTATTTCACTGGTGTCTTAGATGCCTGGAAAGTCCTGCCCTGTTCACCTCACTGTTTATACGTGAGTTGGTTCTTGAATGAGATCATGTTTATAATGCACATTAGACATGCCTGTCACAGAGCTAAAGTTGTCATTTTTAAGTGACCTAATGGAACACTAATTTGTTGGGTACCAAGGCAATGAAGTGAATGCAGTTAGAGCTCAAACAAACCAAACAGGTCAAGTTCAACCCTCTGTCTCAGGCCAACATTCATTCCCTGGCAACTGCCTGCTTTACCTGGGTTTCAACACTACCTGTGAAAGAAACCTCACCTCTGACAGATGACACAAAGAGGAAAAGAGCATGACAAAGAAGTTCTGTTATTTCATTGTCTCAGATTTTCTTGTTTCTGAACGTAAAAAAAAAGAGAATGGGCTTTGGAATGAAACTGAAGTGTTCCTTTGAGCGAGGTACATGACGTCCCTGAGACAAGTGACAGAAGGAGTGCTACAGCCACCCTGAGGGCTGCGAGGTCGCAGTCATGAACTTAACCAGCACCAGGGCCGAGCTCACGGGGAGGCAACGCGTCTCATCTGGGTAAACCAGGAGACAAGTCAGTAACCAGCGCCTAGTGTGTACCTCTCCCTCTGTGGGAGCACCACAGGTTGCTAATCCAACCTGTTTGCCCCAAATAGCAATGTTATTTTTCCTGTTTTAAAAAGATGCGGTGGCCCCCTTAGTAATCTGTGTTAAGTGTTTTACAGTGTCACAATCAAGAAGTCCCTCTGTGCAAGTCAGTGGGTGGGAGGGGGGATGGGCGAGCTCTGGCCCCTTGGGCAGTAAGCAGCAGTCGGAGCATTGCAAGGTGGGAAGCAAAGTGATTGAAATAGCTTAGGTAGGGTTAGAAATCAGTTAGCTGGGCCATCTAGGTGTGGTCAGGAGTTGAGGAGGAGGTATAAGGGGAAAGGATAAGGAGCAGGAGCAGTGGAGATGAGAAAATAAGCAGTGGATGTGGCCAGGGGAGCCACCAGAGTGAGTGAGGTTACTGAGCAAGGGATTGTGTCGTCAGCGAAAGGTGAAAGGTTGGTGGAGAGTCCAGCAGAAGGCAGATTATGAAGCAGCGGGCATACAGTGTTTGTCTTCAGAAAGTCGCTGAGCAGATGGAATTCTCTGACCCCGTCTGCCTCCAGAGCACAGACTGCTGTTGCATGCTGGCAGAACAGCTCGGGTTCACCAACCCAGACTTTCTTGGCAAGAGCAGACTGCTGCTTTGGGCACTGGGGGGTCTTGTTTGCCTATACCCTGTTAGAATGACTGCAGAAAACAGCAGATGGTGGCAGAGAGCACTGGGGGTCCGGGAACATGCTAGCCTGAGGAGGTTCCAGAGAATCCCCTTGCTTGTCCTGTGGTTGTGGAGGGAGCAGGTGTACTGCAGAGAAGGGTGACAGAGACGTGGTTCTTGCCCACCTGTGTCCTGAGTGGCAGCAGGGTATGCGTGTGCACTGCGGTAGGAGTGGAGAAGAGGGGCCTTCTCCCCAACAGTCCTCTCCGTTTGTAGGAAAGCTTAGTGATCGACCGCCCTCGTGTGAGAAAGCAGACCAAACACTACAACTCGTTTGAGGAGGATGAGCTCATGGAGTTTTCAGAGTTAGACAGTGACTCGGATGAAAGGCCCACGAGATCCAGGCGCCTCAATGACAAAGCCAGGCGCTACCTCCGAGCTGAGTGCTTCCGGGTAGAGAAGAACCTGCTCATCTTTGGGTGGGTATTGACTCTGCTTGGCTTTGTGTTGTTCTTTTTCCCCCCTGATTTTCAGTCCCTGAGATTTGTTCACTATGTCTCTGCAGTCCCCTCTACAATTACAGACCAACAGGGACCTTTGGGGCAAGAGAGAACTGTGCTGTCTGCCCGGAATCCCTCTCTGTCATGATGTGCTCTGCAGCCGTCATGTAGGCGTGCCCCGATTTCCTCATAGGCTTGGCCATAGCAAATCTCTGGGACTAATTTGCTTCCTGGTACTGATTTCCTGCCTTTTCTCCCTATGGATATATAAGGAGCCAGCACAACAGATGTTTCAGTCGAGGCATGATTCTTGCACGGCTCTGGCTCTGGTAGAGACTTTTGAATCCTGCAGCTGGACTCTGTTTTATTTCAAAATGTGTTTCCTGCTCCCAGTACTTTGGTTCCCCCAAAATTAGCATTCTAGAGGCTATATGAACCTCTCAGAGTCCAAGGTCCAGGTCACCTTAGTTACGCGGTCCTCAGAGGCCTTTCGGGACCAAGCCTTCAGGTTGACTGATAGACCCAGCAGAGAACAAGAAGTCCTCTTGGCTCTTGGTTGTCCTGCTGTGTGGAGGGAGCTTGCCTGGCCCTTCCTGCCTCCCAACACCCTCTGTATTTCCACCGTCAGCTGGGGCCGTTGGAAGGACATCCTGACTCATGGGCGATTCAAGTGGCATCTGAACGAGAAGGACATGGAGATGATTTGCCGGGCCCTGCTGGTGTACTGTGTCAAGCATTACAAGGGGGACGAGAAGATCAAGAGTTTCATCTGGGAGCTGATCACACCCACCAAAGACGGACAGGCCCAGACCCTGCAGAACCACTCAGGTGAGAGGTGGAAGGGCCGTGCCTGGGAGCACACCGCATGCACTTTTGTTCCCTCTTACTGCAACAGTCCGTGTGCTGCGCTTTCCGGGACTTCCTTTTCTCAGATATGAGGGAACTTCAGAAAGTTCCTGGAAAAGTGGAATTTAAAAATGGGTTTATTTTGGTACAAACATTTTTTTTTTTTGAGATCCATGTGTAGTTTATTCATGATAGGCATTTTCCATTGACTTTTTTGAAGACCGCTTGTGTATTCCGGAATGTTGCCTGTAGGAAAGGACGCTGATGCTCTCAGTTGTCTCTCGCAGTCATCCAGGGTTGCTTGTGACATTGTGTTTAAGTACAGTGGGACCCTCCTGAGGTCACCCACACCCCAGGCTCACCCACTACCCTCAGTCACACGGAGGTCCTTCCTCTGCAGTGAGGCATTCAGGCCTTGCGCTCTGTGACTTGCCTTTCACATTCCCCATTCAGCCCCTGTTCCACTTCTGTCTGTGCCTTTTCCGGTGCTGTTGTTCCTTCCAGGGTTTGGCCAGAGCTCCCCTTGAGGTTTCAGGTCAAGTTTCATTTTTCCCCAGCTAGATTGTAAATCCTCCGAATCACAGGCTGCGCCACATCTTCCTGGATACGGACTCCTGGGTGCGTGGCCTGGCTGCGTCTCTGCAGCCCAGCCCAGCCCAGCCGTGTTCCAGCACCAACACTCAAGCCCCCTTGGCTCATCCAGATGTCCTTCACTGCTTTCTGCTTTAGGGTTGTCTGCTCCAGTCCCTAGAGGGAGGAAGGGGAAGAAGACAAAGAACCAGCTGCTGCTTCCGGAACTGAAGAACGCAGACTGGCTGGCCACGTGCAATCCCGAGGTGGTCCTGCATGACGACGGCTACAAGAAACACCTCAAACAACACTGCAACAAGTGAGTGTTTCCCTCCCGTTCCCGGGGGCCGCCCTGCTCGGACTCTCCAGACTCCTGGGAACCCCACAGGGAGACTCCTTCATGCTCCTGTGCTCCTGTGCACGCAAGGTCTGGAAATCAGGGTGTGTGATGTGTGGGCAGAGCTGGGTCAGCATTCATTCTCGTTAGAGCTCCTCCAACTCCATTAACACTGTCTCTTCTCTCCATGGAACCTGGCCTATCTAGCTGTGCTTTGTGAACCTCTGAGGACTTTCCTGATCTGACGCCTTCTGCCCCTAGGGTCACATTAGCAAGGGCAGAACACGGGCCTCAGTGGCCTCTACTCTCAGCTCCCTATGCCAAGTTGCTTCCTTTTCCAATTTGCTGTTCCCATTCATGGTCTCAGGTTTTTTTATTTTTATGTATTTACTTTCATTTTATCTGGAAGGCAGAAAGACAGAGATCTTCTGTCCACTGGTTCACTTCCCAAATGTCCATAATAGCCAGGGCTGAGCCAAGCCAAAGCCCAGAACCCAGAACTCTATCCTGGTCTCTCACGTGGTGACAGCAAACCAAGCTCTTGAACCATCACCTGCTGCCTCCCAGCATGTGCATTAACAGGAAGCCGGATCTGAAGCAGAGAGAACAAGGTCTCAAAGTAGGCACTCCAGTATGGGATGCCAGCGTCCGGGTAGGGACTCAACTGCTGCTGCACCAGACGCCTTCCCCCACTTCCAGTTATGTGATAGGCATGCATCTGAGATAGTATACTTCATGTCTATAGGCTGGCAGCTGGAGGTGGCATGGCGGGATATAGTTTAAAAATGATAGAAAATGAAATTCTGTTTTTGTGTAGTTTAATTTTAGGGAGTTAGGGCACTTGGCCACAAAACCATCTCAAATTTGCAAGTGGGTGTCTGCATCACTTTATAATGTGACCATCTTGGAGATCCTTGGAGACCATCTCTAGCTCTAGGCTATGCCACAGTTATTGCCCCAGCATTCCTGGTGGGCAGTGAGAAGACCTGTATGCACCTGTGGTCATCAAAGAGTTTATTACCTTATAGGTTAAGATGTTGTACTTGGTTTTTCCTGTCTCTCTGTAACATCCTGAAGGTCATATAGTTATTAAGTTGTGAGGGTTTTTTTCTTCTACAGATGAAGTCTAATCCTTTCCCTTGATCACTCCAAATATTTGAAAATAGGTCTTATGCCCAGCAATGTAATAAAAACTGTATACAAAAGTACAAGCTCTTTGGAGACAGTAATCTTGAATTGGGATTTAAAAGACACATGCAGTTGATTGTAGAGCCTGGCTGGGGAAGGATCCAATTGCATATTTGATGTGCCTACATCAGAGTTGCCACGTGGGAAAGAGAGAACAAGGAAGCTGGCTGGGTGAGAGGACTCACTGGTAGTATACCTGGCATGCTAGGCTAAGGATTTTATTCTCAATACAGGCAACCGTGTTTCTTGAGCAGGTGAAACAGGCAACTGAAAACAATGATAGTTGGGAAGAAAAACTAATCTGGCAAGAGTTTGCCAACTGGTGTAAAGTGACTTAAGAATTGAATGCCTAACTAGGAGATTTGCATCATAATTAGCAAGTCAAAATTAATTAAATAATTAGCAAGTCAAAATTAAATAAAGGTTAAAACAGGCTCTGGGGTCAAGACTGCCTGGATTTAAATCCTGGCCCCATTGCTTGGCCAGCAAGTGAATTACATGATCTAAATTTGCCTTCACTCTTCCATCCATAAAATAAAAATACTAATAGTTCCTGCCTTTAGCATTGTAATGAGGATGGAGTGAGTTAATGCATACTCCATACATAGTAGGTGCTCAAAGCATTGTTTGTTATTTGAGCAGAATATTATTTGGACGCGTGAAGCTGTCATTAAAAGGACTGTGAAACATTTAAAAAAAAAAAAAACTGCCTCAAATCCAAGTTTAAAGAAATTAGTATAGTGGTATGAATTGGGCAGGGGCAGGCAAGCGGATAATGATGACTGGAGAGAAATACCAGAGGAACTTCTGGGAAATGTTCTGCTGCCCTGTCTCTGATCTGGATGCTGGATGTTCTCTGTGGGAGTTCATCAGGCAGTACATTTATGCAGAGTCTGTTCTCTGGAAGAATATTTCATGCCAGTAAAATGTCTTAGAAGAAAAGAAAAAGATGCCACCACACAAAACACCAGGTTATTTTGTTTGGCTAAAGCAAGGGTGCTGCAGACTTGCTCCAGCTGTCCTTCCTCTTGAGGTTAGATGCCCACAGGATTATCATCTCACTCTCGGAGGAGATGGCTCCGTCTGTTGTCTGAACTGATTTGTATCCCATTTGGAGAAGAAGTGAATACCATTAGCTTTAAAGTCTATTCTCTCTTGCCACAACACATTTGCTTCTCTTTAGAGAACTAGACCGAACTGTCACTATCTCCCAGCTTCAAGAAAGCCTGCTCCGATTGAGCTAGATCCCAGCAGGTAGGGCACCAGCATTCTGTTCCAGTTCTTCGTAAGGAGCTGCTAGCTACTATCAGCTAGGTGTCAAGATCTCAGAGAGTTCTTACTCTCTAGGCTTTAAAAAAAAAAAAAAAAAAAAAAAAAAACCTCAAAATTATTTGAGCTGATTGACAGTTGAAGGAAAAGAATGGTATGCCAAAGACATAAGAATTCTTTCCCATCTAAAAATTCTAACTTTGTTTCCACCTATGTCTTGAGCCTTTGGTGGCATTTTCTTCCCAGAGCCAGTAGAAATTATGGCTTTTTAGAGGCTTCAGCTCTTTATTATTAACTTCTTCTGAATAAGTAACACACATATGTTTTTAAAAATTCCTTAAGTTTTCCTGCCACTTCCAATTCCGTTGTTGCCTATTGAGAGATGACTACTGGGACCGATGCTGTGGCACAGTAGATTAATCCTCCACCTGCAGTCCCGGCATTCCATATGGTTCTGGCTGCTCCTGTTCCAATTCAGCTCTCTGCTGTGGCCTGGGAAAGTAGAAAATGGCCCAAGTGCTTGGGCCCTGCACCCACGCGGGAGACCTGGAAGAAGCTCCTGGCTCCTGGCTTCAGATCAGCTCAACTCTGGCTGTTGGAGCCATTTGGGGAGTAAACCAGCAGATGGAAGACCCTTCTCTGTCTCTCCCTCTCACTGTCTGTAACTCTGCCTCTCAAATAAATAAATAAAAATCTTTAAAAAAGAGAGAGAGAGAGAGAGAGAGAGAGAGATGACCACTGCTAACCTGATTCTTCCTGTGGTTCTCTGTGCAGGTACATGTGTATGAGGATGTATCAGCTTCCTTTTGTGTTCTTTAACATAGTAGATTTTGTACATCGCTGTGTACGATCCCTTGTTTTTGAAATTTTCACCTGGAGTCTGATTCCTCTGTAATTGTGTGTATGTGGAATTCTGTCGTTGTTGTCATTACTTTCAAAAATGTATTTATTGGGGCCAGCGCCATGGCTCACTTGGTTAATCCTCCACCTGAGGCGCCAGGTTCTAGTCCTGGTTGCTTCTCTTCCACTCCAGCTCTCTGTTGTGGCCCGGGAAAGCAGTGGAGGATGGCCCAAGTGCTTGGGCCCCTGCACCCGCATGGGAGACCAGGAGGAAGCACCCGGCTCCTGGCTTCGGATCGGCGCAGCGCCAACCGTGCTGGCCATTTGAGGGGGGTGAATCAATGGAAGGAAGACCTTTCTCTCTGTCTGTCTCTCTCACTGTCTAACTCTATCATATCTATTGATTTGAAAGTCAGAGTTACAGAGAGGAAGGGAGAGAGACAGAGAAAAAGATCTTCCATCCCCTGGTTCATTCCCCAAATGGCCACAAGGATCAAGGCTGGGCCAGGCTGAAACCAGGAGTTTCATCTGGGTCTCCCACGTGGGTGCAGGGGCCCAGAGACTTATGCCATCTTCTGCTGTTTTCCCAGGTGCATTAACAGCAAGCTGGATCAGAAATGGAACAGCCAGGTCTCAACCAGCGCCCATAGTGGATACTAGCGCTGCAGACAGTGGTTTTACCCACTACACCACAGCACTGGCTCCTGGGCTCCTGTTTTCAGTGGCTAGCCTTTGCTCTTGGCTAGTATTAAGCAAATTATAAGTGTTCTTCAAAACCTATTTGCTTCTTAGCCTTCAAGTGAATTAGCTCCTCCATAGTGATCTGCATGTCTGTGCCTACTTTACATTCACCCTGTTCTTGCACACATTAGCCTGCTGGGGTCATCTTATGTGCTCTGACTCTCTTCATTGTTGGTCTCCTTTCACAACTAGGCTTCCGTAAACCTCTCAGGAACAGAGTTGGGTTGTGTACTTTGCTGTATACCTCAGAGCACCTGGCATGCTACAAGGCACATAGCAGTAGCTGCCCATCAAATACTGCCTTAACTGCTTTGCTTTAAACATTTGTGGCACTCCCATAGAACCTGAATGTGGCCCATTGAGCACCTCAAGAGAGAAGACAGTGCCATGGAAAGTAGACTTTTAAATACTCATGTAACAAAAAAACAATTCATGTAACTCTGTATGAGTGGAATGTGTGAAAGCCCCGCCACTCCACACTAGTCACCCCTCCGCAGCTAGCAAACTGAAAACTGGCCTGGTGAGCCACTCCACATCAGTCGCCCCTCCGCAGCTAGCAAACTGAAAACTGGCCTGGTGAACGTCAGCTCTGTGGTGTGCAAAGGTCAGGAAGAGCTGTGTTTATGCTGCCTCCGTGGCTTGCAGGATAATCTCCCGGATGCCAGCTGAGACGCGGAGTCATGTTGTGTGTAAGGCAGATGTCACAATACGTCTGTCGTCAGTACATAGTGTTTTGTTATTCTGGTGCTGTCTTATATGAGGACCTTCAAAAAGTTAATGGAAAAACTAGAATCAAACTTACCTCATGATTCCATGATCTGTGAAGTTTCTGAAATACGCTTGTTGATTGCATGATATCACTAAACAGCCTGGGAGTGCCCCAGATTTCCCTGTGTTAACTTGGGAATGTGGTTCAAACACACATGGGTTCTAATTTTTTTCATCAATGTGCTCCCCCCTTTGTAGGGTACTTTTGCGAGTCCGGATGCTATACTACCTGAAAGCTGAAATACTGGGAGAAGCAGCTGATAAAGCATTTGAAGGAACTCCTGCCAGGTAACACAGATAAGACTCAGCTGTCAGTATTAAAGAACTGGCACAAAACAGCTCTTCATGGAGCTGGCCAAGCTTGCTGTTCTTCAGGAAGTTCAATTCCCATCACCACTCCCATGCCACCCCCACCCAGAACCAATTACCCAGTGGTAGAGTAGGGGTGATTAAGTTAGGTCACCTACAAATCAGTGAAAGAAGAAAACCGTTTCTTAGAAACAGCTTTGGTGAGTTTTTTATTCTAACTCTACCCCCCTGTCAGTGTAGTGTGCAGTCCGGGAGTCAAGTGCATAGACTGCATATCTCCCTAGATGGTTCTGACCTAAGGACCAAGAAACAGTAACCCACAGCTTTCTGCGTCATTTGGTTTGTTGTTCCTTCAGCATCTCAGTATGCAACCGGGAATGTAGCTTAACACCGGGTCTGGGCCAGTAGCTTTTACGTTGTTTTGTGTCTGAGTCCACACCCTTCCTTTCACAGGGACCTGGACGTGCTTCTGCCCGACATTGACTATGTGGAGATCCCAGTGGACTGGTGGGATGCTGAGGCCGATAAGTCTCTTCTCATTGGTGTGTTCAAGCACGGTATGTATTTTAGTGAATGTTTTCCCTTCAGAGCAGTTCCCCAGGAAACAGGAGTTCAGGTACTCTGGTATAGCTCGTCATATTCCTGCAAAACTCGATCCTCAGAAAGTGGAGCCTCACCTCCACCTTCTTGGAATCTTGAGTGACATGGAGATACTGTGATCATAGTGTCATTGAGTAACTTGTAAAGGACAGCTGAGGCCATCAGGGACTTGTTCAGTGTGTATCTTCGTCACTTGCCTGTCCACACTGGCATGCCTGGGACTGCCTCTCTCCCATTCATTCCTAAAATCCCAATGTGTGGCTGAGTTCCTGACCTGTAGTAGGTATCCAGGGTTTCCTGAGTGAAAGAACAAATGAACAGGAGAAAAGGCTGCGTTTAGCATTTCACACATACACAGACTTCTGAGATCATTCTAAATAACCTACATATTCCTAGGCTGTATCTTTTGCTCCACTGGTGTAAAAATGGAAGCATAGAAGATGGCATACAATCTTTTAAGTCGTAACCAAGAGACTAAAGGGATCTGAGAGAAGTTTGTGAATGGCATGGAAAGCTGAAGCACTTGCCCATTTCTTCACTGCAGGCTGTTAAGCCCCTGTACTTGCTGTCAGCCAACTGCCAGCTGTGTTGAGATAATAATGAAAGTGTCAAATGATAGTCACCCATAGTATGCCTGATACATACTCTACCTACCAGGTGAATCATGTAAAATTTAAACTGAGGAGCAAGGTTTAGAGTGGAAAGAATTAGGTATGCAAGGTATACACCTGCATTAGCTGTCAACTTTGCTACTTACTAAATATGTGACGCTGGGCCAGGTCTGACCTCAGGTGAATGATAGTCTCAGTCTAAGGGGCCCACGACGCTCTGTCTCCTAGAAAACACAATGTTGGTACTTTGCCTCCCAGTGAAGGTCAGGGTAATGGGATTGATCATTTGATCACTTAATCTCAGTGTTGGTACTCACCTCCCAGTGAAGGTCAGGGTGATGGGATTGATAATTTGATCACTTAGTCTCATATCAGATATTGCAGAGTCCATCTAGGTGATGTGTGAGGTCATTTCCAGATGTGAAACTCTACTCTCTGAAGTGGTTATGAGGTAGGAGGAGAAGTTAATTTGTGTTTCCTGAGAAGCACACCTGTGAGACCTTAAGATGATGTAGTACCCGTCTTCCAGCATCCCCCAGGCCACCAGCTGAGGTAGCTTGGTGTTGAACGTTAGGGCCGAGGAGTGGATGGCAAGGTGATATGTCCAGTGCCTGAGGTTGTCGCGTCCCTCGACCAGCAAGGAAGACACGACCCGAACTCTTCTTCAAGCAGTTTATTCAGGAACCTTGAACAAGCTTCTTCTTCCGCCTCCTTCCCTCTCCCATCCCTCTTATAGCCATCAGCACACCAATCAAAAGCAGCCAAGTGGCAAGCATTGATTGGTACAGCAATGCGGAAGCCGGAAGGGAGCTCAGCCATCTCCTTATTAGGAGATGTTTGTTTCTCGCCAGTCCTTCCGGGGGGAAAGGAGCCGGCGCCATCTTTAGGGCGCCGTGCAATGGCTCCCCACAGTTCCCCCTTTTTGTTTTAGAACCAGGCATCTAAGGATTACAGGAGAAGGTAGGGGTCTGTCCCCCACTGCCAGGCATCCACCTGGAACAGCATCCTTTTCGCGGGGGTGGGATCTGGGATGCCAACCCACATGCAGACAGACTTGCCTTCCAGAGAACGTAATGGCTCGTTCTCTCTGCAGTGCTTTGCCTCGCACCCTGCACCCATGCCTAGCATTCAAGGAAGGCCAGCCATGCTTGCGGCGATTGTCCAGCCTCAAGGGCATAAAAGGCTTGAGCTATCATGGCCAGTTCCCGCCAATGAGCTGTCCTCATCCTGCACAAACACCACAGGCAAAATAACACAACAAGTAACAACAACCCGTCAAAGCTCCAAGTCCCACCCACTCCTTCAGGTTGGAGACGGCTGTGCGGATCCAGGATGACAATCCAGATGCGAAGGAGACATCCACACATGTGGAGTTGATGGTGACCACGGCAAGGCACAGTTGCTTCAAGGTGTAGTCAAATTCTGCGGACCAATTCTGCAAGAGCATCTGAGACAACTGTTTAGAGTAATTTGCTACCTGAGTCATGTTATCGTACTGAACAGAGGTCACACACAACCCTGAAAATTTCCACTCACATCCTAGCTGAGCAAGCTGCCAGAGAGTATCCACCTGCTCCTGTACCAAATCCACACGCTGATTAACAATCATCAAGCCTCCCTTTATATGTACATTTAAGGATGTCTGAGTATCCAAAGCAGCAGCCACGGAGGCCGTCAAATTATTCAGGGTATTAGCAGTTTGAACTGTCCCTGTGAGCACTATAGCAGCTGTTGTAGCGCCCACAGCTGCAATGGAAATGGCGGTTATAACGGCTGCAGTAACGATCCCAATCAGCAATGTTATCATAATGAAGATCGAGGGGCTGCTTTGTGACATTGTTTGCCGCACCAGTCGCTCAGGTAACCATCGAGAATATAGAAACATGTCCACGTCCCCATATTAAAACAGGGTCAGGTCCATACCATTGAGCAGTTAGAGGGTCTTTCCACTTCACACAGACTTGTTGTCTTTTGGTTTCAGGATGCAAGTGACGATCAGCTGCAGATTTCCCTTGATTATCCAGTATTAGAAAATTTAAAATGAAAAGAGCATGTGATAGCCATTTTTGTGGGGAATATGCCATGGTCCCGTATTCCCCCTTTTTTATTTTTTATAAATAATTTTTAATGTGGCATGTGCTCGTTCCACAATACCTTGTCCCTGGGGATTATAAGGAATCCCGGTGATGAGAGATGTGGAAGTTAGTACAGAAGTGCTTAAAAGAGTTGGAAGTATACGCTGGGCCATTATCAGTTTTTATCTGTATAGGGGTTCCTAGAACAGCAAAGGCCTGAAGGCAATGAGAGATGTTTGGCAGCCTCGCCGCATTGCGGGGTGGCAAAAACAAAACCTGAACATGTATCTAAAGAGACATGTATGTATTTTAGTTTACCAAATTCAGAAAAATGGGTAACATCCATCTGCCAAAGCTTAAGGTTTGGACATTGAGGTGATGCAAATCATGACCACGGGATGCTTCTTAGACTTTGTCAGTCCCTCTTTAAAGGATCTGGCTTCTGAGCCAGAGACTGGAGCAGCTAGAAAGAAACACGTTTATAACTGAAGTTTAGCATCATTTCACATCTTGGCACCACTTTTAATCTAAACAACCCGATTGGTTATTATCTCTGCAAGATGAGAGATATATCTTTTGACATCTCCAGGGGCCCTCTGGAGATACCAAAAGTCCAGAGAATTTAGAACTTTGATTTTCAGAAAGTCTGTTAAAGGTGCCAAGAGAACTTAGAGTATCTGGTCAAAATAGAATTCCTTAACATTTAGTCAGGGCGATTTTAACACTTTTAGACCACATCTGATCATAATAATATTTAACATAACTTTTTAAGACTTAATACTTTTTATCAATCATAACTTAACAGACAGTAGAGTACACATTTACTTGGCAGAACATGAATTTTTAGGTAAACCAGAAATACAAAAACCTTGAATATAAGAGTTAGCACATGAAATTATCACATAACTCAGAACTATTTAACAGAGTTAAAAAGAGCTTACACGACCTAACTTTAGAAATGGCAGAGTAACTGATTAAGCAGACACTGTTAAAAAGAGACGTTACAGTTTTTGCAACAACAGATTTTAAGATTTACAATTGAGACCATTTCCAGATAATTACTAACATTAGTACACATTTTAAAAAATCCCATTGTTATAACAGAAGATCAGACTTCAACTTTAGGTTAGTGTAATTTTGGCATTAACATTTAACTTATAGAAAACTCTGTAAACAATGTTTTAAAATCGTAAACTTTTTACAACTTTTCATGACTTGCTCACACCTTCTGAAACTTTATACCTGTAGTTACTTTTACAGTCTTGAATTATCATGTATGGACAACCTATGAGAATACATGCTGGCAAACTTAAAAGTCTTATCAAATTTAAGATGTTAAAAGTACACATAATACATTTTCCATATTTTACTTAGCACCGACGCCTGGATAACTTAAAACACTGAGCTATTAATGAATACCACACCATTATCTGAATTAAAAGTCAAAATTACATTTCCATGCTTTTAAGTAACATAAGGATAACACCACTTGGGCAGCAACAGTCACTAGTGCATATTTACAACTTTGAAAAGATCTTCATCCTTAAGAGAAACAAGTTTAAAGCATATCAAAGACATGTAAATGTAAAACTGAGCAAGTGAACCAAAGGGCGTTTGCATTAACCCAACTTTCTGAACCAATCTGTATTGGCTTACTTGAGTTAACAGCATAAAGGCTTGTATACACAGAATTTACTCTCATTTTTATAAGACTACTTTAGCTGAAAAGCAAAAACATGAATACAACATAGATTTGACCTCATTTACTACATTTTAATACACTTTGTATAATTTGAATTGACTCAAACAGCTGTTACTTTAACAAATTTAGAGTCCCATCCTTTGAGAGTTCCAGGGATCCAACTGGAAGCCCCAAAGTTGAAAGACTCGGTTTAGAATTTAAACTATCAGAGAGTCAAACCATTTTAGTCAAAAATTAGTACGTTTAACCAAGGCTGTGGACTAGATCTAATCAGAGTTAGGTACTCACTCAAACATTAAAGATATAACGTAAACAGCTTCATGGTGCAGTTTTTCCAATCAAGACTCATACTGGCAATAGAAAATTGTGAAACCTTCAAGACACATGAAAACTCTCATTAGATAAGTTAGCTACAGCAGCACAGAAAAGAATTGATTATTAGCGTATGAGCCCATTGCTTAAGTTTTTATTAACTGTAAAGAGAAAAACCCATCAAGTTGGAAAGGGTTATCGAATTAAGACTTTTCTCTAGGTCAAGATACCTGTGGAATTTTTCCTCTCTCTTTCTCCTGGCCTGTCGTGCCTCCCTTTTTGTTTTAAAAGATATTCTTTCAGTGTGCGGTGTGCTCGCTCAATTATGCCCTGGCCCTGAGGATTGTACGGCAATCCATGGACAAGTTGAACCTCCATTTTTTTGGCAAAAGGTGGTAAAGGTTTGAGATGTATAGGCCGGGCCATTATCAGTTTTTAGCACCTGGGGTCTCCCCCAGGCGGCCCATGCATCCAGACAATGAGCAATCACCTGACATTAGGGATACAATTGGGCTAGAAGGTTTAATCAGTCCTGCGGTTTCCAATATCTTTAATGCGTTCACCACATATAAGGAATCTGACAACAAGTTAAAGGCAAAAGAGCACTGCTTAAGGACTTCAATAACTATTTTTAATTCCACAACTTGAGGTGAGCCTGGCTGAAACTGATGAAATACCGGGTCATTAGCCTCTACCATATAAACCCCACAGCCTGTTTTTATTTATTTATTTATTTATTTATTTATTTTTTTTATTTTTTGACAGGCAGAGTGGACAGTGAGAGAGAGAGAGACAGAGAGAAAGGTCTTCCTTTGCCGTTGGTTCACCCTCCAATGGCCGCCGCGGCCGGCGCGCTGCGGCCGGTGCACCGCGCTGATCCGATGGCAGGAGCCAGGAGCCAGGTGCTTTTCCTGGTCTCCCATGGGGTGCAGGGCCCAAGCACCTGGGCCATCCTCCACTGCACTCCCTGGCCACAGCAGAGAGCTGGCCTGGAAGAGGGGCAACCGGGACAGAATCCAGTGCCCTGACTGGGACTAGAACCCGGTGTGCCGGCGCCGCTAGGCGGAGGATTAGCCTAGTGAGCCGCGGCGCCGGCCACAGCCTGTTTTTGACCCATCCGTAAATATATTTGGAGCACCTGGTAATGGCTCAGCGGCTGTAATTTTTGGAAATCCTCATTTGCCGATTCAATTCCCGTACTTGCTTTATACCAGACTCTTTGTTATCACCACACTCTTCAGACTCACTGCTGCTTTCTGAGCTACTTTCTGCACTAGTACTACTTACTAAGGAGGGGCTGTGCAACTCGGAAAGATCGGGGTACAGTTTTTTCCTAGTTCTTTTCTGACTCTCCTTCAAAGTTTTCCCTTTTTCACTGGCAGCTCTCTCGGAGCGCTCTTCCTGAAGCTCCTCCAAGGCAGCTTGACCGCTCAGAATAGTTTCACTACACTGCTCATCCTCGAGGCATGCTCGCACTAACTTCCATATTGGTCTCACTCCCCTTTCGAGATTACCCTGTTCAAATGCAAAATCCAAATCCCTGCCTAGTTTGTCCCATGAAGGGATAGTAAGGCTTCCCGAAACCCCATACCAGGGTGCAATGGTATCGCAGTTACGTAAAAACCTATGCAATGTACTAGGCTTAAGTTTCAAACCGTTTTCTCAAAGCAGCGCATTCAGCGCCAGAAAAATTGGATGGGACTCAAAAATTGTACTCTTTCCCTGGCCACGGGTCAGAGCTCCTTCTGCCACGGGTCAGAGCTCCTTCTGCTTTTGTCACAGAACTTCCTCTGCTTTAATCGCAGAGCTATCCTCCCGCTATTGGATCCCCACCTTATTTTCCTGGGGGACTTACCAGCGCTGCCCTGACTGCAGGAAGTTCTGAGTTCGCGTTTGAGATGGTTCCCCGTACGGGCCACCAGTTGTCGCGTCCCTCGACCAGCAAGGAAGACACGACCCGAACTCTTCTTCAAGCAGTTTATTCAGGAACCTTGAACAAGCTTCTTCTTCCGCCTCCTTCCCTCTCCCATCCCTCTTATAGCCATCAGCACACCAATCAAAAGCAGCCAAGTGGCAAGCATTGATTGGTACAGCAATGCGGAAGCCGGAAGGGAGCTCAGACATCTCCTTATTAGGAGATGTTTGTTTCTCGCCAGTCCTTCCGGGGGAAAGGAGCCGGCGCCATCTTTAGGGCGCCGTGCAATGGCTCCCCACATGAGGTGCCTCCTTGTGGTACAGGGTGACTTCAGAAGATGTGCTATAAAGGTGGGGGGGAAGACAGCCCCTGTACTCAGTGCTCAGTATGGAAGAACTGGACCTGCGTCATCTTTGTAGACCCTGGATAGGGCCAGACCTATTTAGTCAGATTGGTTATGGAGGAGGTAGGACAGATGCCTCATGGACCCATCCTTAGTGCCTTGCGAAGTCCAGTGCAGATGCTGCCTCTCATGGTTGCTGCCCATCAGACTTTCCATGACCAAAGGCTTAGGCCTCTCTTCATCTGGGTACTATTGGGTACACCTGACTACCCTTGTCTGGTCTTACCGCCCCCTCCCCCACCATGGCATAACCACCAGGGGACAATGGAATTCCCAGGTACCCTGCAGCTGGTGGAGATGTGATGCTCAGCTCTTTGCAGAAAGCCGGGCTGTCTAATGTTCACTTTTCAGGGATCTGTATGTACTAGGAAGCCCTGTCTGCCTCGCCTCCATGCCTTGGTCAGCTGTGAGCTGGGATGCTGCAGTGATTTTCTTTGTTAAGAAACACACAGCTTTAGCCTACTGTAGACATAGCCCTGCCTCAGGGAGAGGAAGTAGCCATGGTTCTGTCTCCAAGCCAGCCCCATTAGAATCACCGAGTATTTGGTTGAGGCTTTAGAGAGAAAATAAAGGAAAAGGAAGAAAGCAAGCCTCTGTGCCAAACCTCCGATGCTGTCGACAGCTCTCAGGCGCAGTAAGTGCCTGTGGCCCCTCAAGGGCAGCCTGGATTTAGGAAGTTTCCTCAAGACAAGATAGATTTACTGTTTCTCTTCGGGGCTTGTGGACTAAATGCGAGCCAGGAGTGTGCTGTAGCTCCAGGATCTTTCCCTGACAGGAAGCCTTGCAGGGTCTGATTCATCTTAAATAAATGTTTCCTTTGTTTCGTTTTAGCTTTTACTTAACAAGGGAAATAAATGACAGTCTGGAGTCTGGGGCACGTTTTGTGAGTTCTGATGTGGCTTCTGCGTTTCTCTTTCTTCCTGGTCAGGTTATGAGAGGTACAATGCCATGCGAGCAGACCCAGCACTCTGCTTTCTGGAGAAAGTTGGGATGCCAGACGAGAAGTCCCTTTCTGCAGAACAGGGTGTCACAGATGGCACCTCAGACATCCCCGAAAGGTGAGATGCCACACAGGGCAACTGCATGTGATGTCATGCCACTCTGACCCCTTCTGCCTACATCAGTGCCTTCCTGTGTCTGCCTCGGTGTCTGGTGTCTCCTTTAAACCTTGTCACATGCGGCTGCCTTCCAGAATTGGTACTCTGGTTACACCCTTCTAGCTCTAGGCCTCTGCTTTGACTTCTAAGCACTTTGAGCCAAATGTCAGTTCCTGTCCTTCCTGGCTTCCCCAGGCTGCCCACAGATCCTATAACCAGGTTTGTCTCCTGTCTGGTTGAGGATCCTAGAGGAAGAATTCAGACTGCTCTTAGCTGGCAGAGAACTAAGCAGAGGCACATGAGTACAGGCTTCCTGACCTGGATGCTCCCCACATGAAATTCCAGGATTATTTCAGGATCGCCCAGTCCATAGTTAAGGCAGATTTAGGAGCCACTGCCTGATGGGCGCGGCATGCATTTCTGTCCTTGGGTGTGTGCAGAAGTGTGGAAGCAGCATTCCTTTGGGTTGTTTTATTTACTGTTGACCTAATGTCACAGGAAAACTAAATTAACTGTAGTTCTCCAAAATATATATTTTGTTGGAAGATATGACATTGATCTCTTCACTCTTTGACTCAGTCTTTTCCCCTAAAGTAGCAAATACTGCTTTGCTTGCCTGGGACTGTAACCAGGCCTGGCTGTGAGTAGCAATGCTAGGAGCCCCTGACTGTCCACTGAGGCTTGGAAAAGCTAAGATGCATTTTCTATCTGTCCTTAAGCCCTGGTGAACACTTTAGCTGCCATAATATTCTGTGCCCCAGAGGTATTTCCTGTGGACAGGTAATAAAGCTGCATTCTGGGAGATGTTAACAAACCCCCAGATAACTTGTGATCCGAATGTTAGATTCACCGATTCAAGGAAAACATCGATTCAAGGAGAGGTACCTGACTGTGACATGAAAAGCTCATGCTTTTTTGGGGTGACTGGTCCCTCTGTGGCTAAGCAATGAGGATAGGAGACTGCTGCGCCTCCAGGACCCGAGCAGCAAGAACAGCAACATTGCAGATTCACGTTTAAAAGGAAACATGAAGAACAGACATCAGCAATAGTTAAGGTCACAGGAGAGAAGCATTAGGCAGCTAAGCCAGCAGCAAAGCATCCAAGGGGTAAAGAGGCCAGAATGCCCTTCTGCAGTGCCTGCAGAGCCCCCTGCCCAGAGGCAGCTCTTGCCAAGTGTAAGCGATTCTAGGGAAGAGGCGCCCTGAGGTCTGAGATCTGGGGTGGGTACATCAGGCCACACTGGGTTTGCACAGGTTTAAAAGCCTGTTCTTTTATCAGAGCCACATATTCAGGCAACCTTAGATGGACAGTTACCACCCTTTTTTGCCAGTATCACTGAAAAGTGGCCTCTGAACCTGGCCTGAGATCATGAGGCTGGAGCCCACATTGCTCTCTCAGTGGAGTGGGGCCCTTGCCTGTAGAAGTGATGACACTATCTGATGATGGTGTCTCCCATGTCAGGATCTCCCTGAAAGGAGGGAAGGACTCAGATGTTGAGCGGCTATGGTGTAGAGGCCAGGGACTTGGGTTTTCTTGCCAGCATCCTGGTTACAAAATAACTGAGTGGAATGTGATGCTTTGTTTATTTCCTAACTTTTATTCAGAGGCAACATGGACAAAGAAGACAATACTGAGGACAAATTAGATGGCCTCCAGAAACAAACGGTGAGTCGGGTGTGCTGTCAGTCGCACCGTCTTTCATGTCGAGAGGGAAATTCCAACCTTGGTGGTGGTCTCAGGAACTGCTCTGCATTGCTGCACTTGCATTCCCTGTTCCTCAGCATTATCACAGAACATACACACTGTGTTGCATTTCTATTCTAATAAACTTGCTATTTTGTTGTAACTATAGGTTTAAGTTTTTATTATTTATTTATTTAATGGGATGCCAGCACTACAGGGAGCAGCTTAACCTGCTATGCCACTGCATCAGCCCAAATGTAATTGTTGATACATTTCTTATTGTTTTCTGTTTTTCTTATTTTGTTTTATTTCTCTTGTCTCCCTGGGCTTTATTAACATTTTTTCTTAACATACTATTTTCATTTATCTGTATTGGGTTTTTGTAGCATTTAGTGTACTAGGTATTTCATTATAGATTCATAATGTGTCACAGTCTACTCTCTGTGGTCCTCAGCTTATGAAAGTTGGGCTTAATGATTTTTTTTACTTCATGATGTTGTGTGCATTCAGTAGAAACCATATTTTGAATTTTGTTTTTTTCCCATGCTAGCCATATGCAATGCAGTGTTGGTCAGCAGCAACCACAAGCCACAGTTCCTGGTAGCCACTCTTATCACGAGGGTAAACAGTTGATACTCTACAGTGCACTTGGTTGCTAAACTGTGATGTTCAATAAGTTAGATGGGTTCAGTGCAATTTGAATTAGGATACTTTCAACTTTGAGCTTATCAGGTCATAACCATAAGTTGAAGAGCATGATTTTACCAGTTAAAGTTAAGTGTAAATACCATACCTCATCCTTTCCCATTTGTAGTATAATTGTCAAAAATATTTATTCTGCATAGGTTTAGAATCATATCACATATTGTTATAATTTGTGCTTCAACTGTCAAATATAATTTAGAAAACTGTAAAAATGTTGGGGCCAGTGCTATAGCGCAGTGGGTTAAAGCCCCAGCCTGCAGTGCCGGCATCCCATATGGGCGCTGGTTCAATTCCTGGCCACTCCTCTTCTGATCCAGCTCTCCTAAATGGCCTGGGAAAGCAGTAGCAGATGGGCCAAGTCCTTGGGCCCCTGAACCCATGTGGGAGACCTGGAAGAAGCTCCTGGCTCCTGGCTTTGGATCAACTCAGCTCTGGTCATTGTAGTCATTTGGGGAGTGAACCAGCAGAATGGAAGACCTCTCTCTGGCTCTACCTCTCTCTGTAACTCTGTCTTTCAAAGAAATAAAATAATTCTTAAAAGAAAAGAAAACTGTAAATGTCTACAGTATTTGCCTGTATTTTTTAGATTTTCTTTATTTATTTTCATTCACTTGAAAAGTGGAGTGACACAGAGAGATAGATCTTCCATCAGCTGTTTCACTCCCCAAATGTCCACAACTGCCAGGGCTTGTCCAGGCAGAATTCAAGAGCCCAGAAGTCTCCCACATGGGTAGCAGGGCCCAAGTACTTGAGCTATCATCTGCTACCTCCCAGGGTGATTTAGTTGGAAGCAGAAGTTGCTGGGACTCTAACCAGCACTCCAAGGAGTATCTTAACCAATTGTACCCCAACACACACACACCTACCCATGTTTTTGTTTACTGTGTTCATTCTGCTGATGCCATTCCAAGATTGCTTCCTTTATTGTTCTCCTTCTGTTTGGGAAGCCCCACAAGCCATAAAAAAGGTTTATTTATTTATTTGGAAGGCAGCAGAGCATAGAGCATCAGGGAGATACAGATCTTCCATCACTGGTTCACTCCCCAAGATCTTCCTTCACTGGTTCGCTCCCCAGATGGCTGCAATGGCCAGGTCTGGGCCGTGCTGTATCCAAGAGCCAGGAGCTCCATCTGCATGTCCCACATGAGTGGCAGGGCCCAAGTACTTTGGCCAACTTCTGCTGCCTTCCTTGGTGTACCAGCAGGAAGCTGAATTAGAAGTGGAGCAGGGGCCAGTGCTGTGGCATAGCAGGTAAAGCCGCCGCCTGCAGTGCTAGCATCCCATATGGGCACCAGTTCGTATCCCGGCTGCTCCGCTTCCAATCCAGCTCTCTGCTATGGCCTGGGAAAGCAGTAGAGGATTGCCCAACTCCTTAGGCCCCTGTACCAGTGTGGGAGACCCAGAAGAAGCTCCTGGCTCCTGGCTTTGGATTGGCTCGACTCCAGCCATTGTGGCCAACGAGGGAGTGAACCAGCAGATGGAAGACCTCTCTCTCTGCCTCTCCTTTTCTCTTTGTGTAACTTTGCCTTTCAAATAAATAAATAAATCTTTAAAGAAAAAAAAAAAAAAGTGGAGCAGCCAGGACTCAAACCAACACTTCAACATAGGATGCTGGCTTGGCAGGTGGTACATTAACCCACCACACCAAAAAGCCAGTCCCCCACTAGCCATTCTGGAGGGTAGTTCTGATGGTGACAGTTCTCTTCAGATTTTCTTTATCTGAAAATGTGTTAATATCTCTTTCATTCCTTCAGGTATTCTCATGAAATGTAGAATTCTGGGTTGATGGTTCTTTTCTTTCAGCTCTTAAAAAATATTCTGACACATAGGGGCTGGCGTTGTGGCCTAGTGGGTTAAGCTGCCGCCTGCTAAGCCAGAATCCCATATGGGCGCCAATTCAAGTCTTGGCTGCTCTACTTTTTTTTTTTTTTTTTAAGATTTATTTATTTGAAAGTCAGAGTTACACAGCGAGAAGAAAGGCAGAGAGAGAAAGAGGTCTTCCATCTGCTGGTTCACTCCCCAGTTGTCCAGGAGCCAGGAGCTTTTCTGGGTCTCCCACGCAGGTGCAGGGGCCTAAGGACTTGGGCCATCTTCTGCTTTCCCAGGCCATAGCTGGATCAGAAGTGGAGCAGCCAGGACTTGAACTGGCACCCATATGGGATGCCAGCACTGATGCAGGCGGCAGCTTCACCTGTTACGCCACAGTGACGGCCCCGGCTGCTCTACTTCTGACCCAGCTCCCTGCTAATGCACTGGGAAAACAGAGGAAGATGGCTCAAGTGCTTGGGCCCCTGCATTCACTTTGGTGACCTGGACAGGGTTCCAAGCTCTTGGCTTCAGCCTACCCAACCCCAGCCAGTGTGGCCATTTGGGGACTGAACCAGCAGATGGTCTCTGTAATTATCTTTCGAATAAATAAAATAAAATAAAATAAATCAAATCTCCAGGGAAAAAAATGTTCTGCTACTTCCTCTTAGTCTGATTGGTTTCTGATGAGAAGGCTGTTGGCATTCAAGCTATGTTTGTACCCCTAGGCGTAAGGCCTCTTGTCGCTCACTGCTTTCAGGACTGTTTTTTTCTTTGTCTTTAATGTTCAGAAGTTTAACTGTGATATTTTGTGTGTGTGAATTTCTTTGAATTTTTTCTTGTTTGCAGTTCTCTCATCTTCTTGAAACTGAAGGTTTATGTCTTCTGCTAAATCGGGGGCGTCTTCAGCCGTGGTTTCCCCCAGCATGGCTTCTGCCCCGCCCCTTTCTCCTTCCCTTCTGGGCTGCTGATGGAATGCATGTCAGACCTTTTGTTACAGTCTCACAGGCCTCTGAAGTACATCTCTTAGTTTTTTTCCAGTCTGTTTCTCACATTAGATACTTTCTATTATTCTATCTTCAAGTTTACTTATTATTACCTCTTTTTCCTCCATTTTGCTGCTGAACCTGTCCACTGAGAATGTTTTGTTTGTTTTTTGTATATTATATTTTTGAAATCTGAAATTACACTGGGGGCAGCATTGTGGCACAGCATTGTACCTGCAGCAGCAGCAGCATCCTGTGTGGGCACTGCTTTGAGTTATGGCCACTCCACTTCCAGCTCCCTGCTATGCACCTGCAAAGAGCAGCTCCTGGTTTTAGCCTTTTGGCAGCCATCTGGGGTAGTGACCAGTAAATGGAAGATCTCTGTCTTTCCCTCTCTCTAGAACTCTGCCTTTGAAAGAAAATTTTTTTAAAAGATTTACTTATTGGGGCCGGCGCTGTGGTGTAGCAGGTAAGGCTGCCACCTGCAGTGCCGGCATCCCTTATGGGTGCCCGTTCATATCCTGGCTGCTACGTTTCCGATCCAGCTCTCTTCTGTGGCCTGGGAAAGCAATAGAAGATGGCCCAAGCCCTTGGGCCCCTGCAACCGTGTGGGAGACCCGGAAGAGGCTCCTGGCTCCTGGCTTTGGATCGGCACAGCTCCAACCATTGTGGCCATCTAGGGAATGAACCAGAAAAAGAAAAAGATTTATTTATTTATTTGAAAGGCAGAGTGACAGAGTAAGAGAGAGAAACAGTGAGTGAGATCTTCTATCTGCTGATTCACTCCCCAGATGACCTCAGTGGCCAGAGCTGGACTGATCCAAAGCCAGGAGCTCCTTCTGGGTCTCTCACATGGGTACAGGGGCCCAAGCACTTGGACCATCTTCTGCTACTTTCCCAGGTGCATTAGCAGGGAGCTGGATTGGAAGTGGAGCATCCAGGACTCGAACCAGTGCCCATATGGCATGCTAGTATCACAGCGGCTTTACCCGCTACACCACAGCGCCAGCCCCGAAATAAATAAATCTTAAATAAATAAAGTTTCCATTGGCTCTTTGGGTCTTTGTCTCTTTGCTGAGATTGACAGCCTTTTCCTTTGTGGCGGCAGGCTTGGATTGCTCATTGGTGACTGCTTTAAATTCCTGTGTCAGATCATTCTGAGATCTCTTGTCATTTCAGGGTGCCATCTGTTGCTTTTCTTTTTTCATTCAGTTTGAGGTCTTCCTGATTCTTGGTTATACATGACTTTTGATTGAAACCTGGACATTGTGAGATACTATGTGGTGAGACTGGGTCTCATTTAAGTATTCTGTTTGAGTTCACACAAGGAAGGTGTGGGGTCACCTTTTCTCTGCGCAGAGGGAGCAGAAGCTCACCTCCCAGTCTGCTCCTGTTAACTCCTGAAGGGATGTTTCTCATTACTACTGAACAGGGATGAAAGTCCAGTCCCCTTCATGACCTTTGCTGGTGCCAGTGGTGGGGCTG